ATTCTCCTGCCTCAGCCTCCCAAGTAGCTGGGATTACAGGCACGTGCCACCACGCCCAGCTAGTTTCTTGTATTTTTAGTAGAGAAGGGGTTTCACTATGTTGGCCAGGGTTGTCTCAAACTCCTGACCTCGTGATCCGCCCTCCTCGGCCTCCCAAAGTGCTGCTGGGATTACAGGCGTGAGCCACCACGCCCAGCCTACAAGATGCTTTTTAAATTAACGGCTTCATGAAGAATTGTGTGGTTCCCCAGAGAGTGTAAGAAATGTTTAGGGTCTAGCTAAGGCTGGCTTTGAACCTGATGCTAATAGGGGAGAAGGGATCTTTAGACCTGACCTGAGCCCAAGTTAGGGGTCCAGTCAGTTGCCTGGCACAGCTGGGTTGGCCTCTTTTCTCAGAGACATCTATTGGCTGTGTTACTGAGGACAGCAAGTTGGGGGTTGCCCCCATCCCAGGAGCACAGCCCATCAGTGGCCCTATTGGTCCTTCATAGGTGCGGTCCTCTACTGAGGGTGGTCAAACTCTGCCAAGCTCCCATTGTCCCCTGCCTATAAGGGGAAGAGGGACATTATGCATGGTGCAGCGCGGGGCTTGTGGTCCTCTGTCTGAACCTTGAGCATGGCACCCATGCTGGGTTGGGGAGGTACATAAACAGACACCCAGGGGCATCCTTGGAGCAGGGCTGTCTTTGCTCAGAAAGTAAATGCTCGTTTCTGCTCTGTAGCAAAATCCTGCTATGTATCCAGTTTCCTTCTCAAGCCCTCGACAGATTCTCCAAATGGTCTCGAGGGGTTCAGGGTTCAGACTGTGGGTAGTCTGGCGTTTGCTGGCCTTAGGGACTGTGTCCTCATGATCCCTGGTCTGGGAACACGGTCTCCAAGCCTACCAACCCCCAGACTTCTTCGTATTCTCTGGATGTCTCTATGCAGCACCAGGAAGAAAGAACACTTTCTCCCCCAGCCCTACTCTAGACTTCTCTGCTAATCTCATCCCTCCTTTGCTACCTGTGGGCTTCCTGAGCCCTCAACCCTCAAAGCCACAGTCTAACACAGTTAGGGTTAATGCCAGCTGCACCACATGATAGCTGTGTGACCTTGGGCAAGGTACTTATCCTCTCTGGGCTTCATTTGCCTTTCCTATAAAATGGAAATGATGATAATTCTTAAATGAAAGAGTCATTGTGAGGATCAAATGAGATCATTCAAGGGCTGGCACATCATGAGTGCTTAATAGACAACAGGTGGTATGGTTGTAGTTGTTATCTGTGGATAACCGTCTTCATCCTGGACCTCCTTTTCTGCCCCTCTCCTCCGTCTCCCTAAATCCAGACTTGTCACCTTCCTAAAGCCCCTGTGGCCAGAACTGGGGTGGCTGGTCAGGTCCTTCTCCCAGGCAGGCAGGAGGCAGGGAAGTGTGTCTGAGCAGCCTGCATCCCTGGTAGTGAAGATAAAATGAGTCTTCGGAACCCGGGGTGCTCCCACTTTGGTCATCATGCATACTCTTAATTTAAGAGGATTTCAAGAATCAGCATTTCTGTGGTAGAAGCCAAAGCCAAAATACAGAGAGGGCGAGAGAGTCATTGAAGGCCACAAAGCAAGTCCAGGCCAGAGCGGGGTGAGAGTCTTGGCCATCCTGACATTCAGCGCTCCTCCCCATCTGATTCAACAGCTCTCATTTCTCTAGAAGCCTCATTCTGAAGCTTTCCTGTTCAGAGAAAGCAGCAAACAAAGCGCAGAGCCAGCCCCCTGGGCCTGGAGCCCTGAGCTCCCCGGGCAGACCCACAGGCTGACGGAGACGTTACCGGAGTTGATGATTCAACTTCCTGCCTTTTGAGAGCTCCCAGACCACAGAGGTTTTGTTGCATGGAGGAGGGGGCATCTCCCTGCAGAGGGCCAGCCCCTATAGGACAAGGCCCTACCACAAACCCCAAGGACAAGGCAGTGCCTGGAGCAGGCCCCGGGGGCCACACCTGAACCCGGGCCAGCTGGTTCCTGAAGCCTGGCCCTCTCTGGGTTAATGATTACTATCCAGGGTGACCAACTGTTCTGTCCTGGTTTGCCTGGGACTGTACTGGTTTTAGCACCAAAAAATCTAAAGCCTAGGAAACCCCTGTTCCTAAGCAAACCAAACAGTTTGCCATTCATACCACCCATATGGTAGGACAGGACTTACAGCCTCAGTGACTATGGGGAGTCTGAGCCCCAGGATGGCACAATCTAGAACAGGGAATTGGCCAACTGTGGCCTGGCCCACTACCCATTTTTGTACAGCCCATGAGCTAAGAAGAGTTTTTACTTTTTTTGTGTGTGATGGAGTCTCACTCTATCACCCAGGTTGGAATGCAGTGGCACAATCTTGGCTCACTGCAGCCTCCGCCTCCCGGGTTCAAGCAATTCTCCTGTCTCAGCCTCCTGAATAGCTAGGATTACAGGCATGGACCAAGATGCCTGGCTAATTTTTGTATTTTTAGTAGAGATGGGGTTTCACCATGTTGGCCAGGCTGGTCTCGAACTCCTGACCTCAAGTGATCCGCCTGCCTCGGCCTCCCAAAGTGCTGGGATTACAGGTGTGAGCCACCGTGCCTGGCCTACGCCTGTCTCTTATACACATCTAGATGTGTATAAGAGACAGGTCTCACTCTGTCGCCCAGGCTGGAGTGCAGTGGTGCGATCTCGGCTCACTGCAAGCTCCGCCTCCCGGGTTCAAGCAATTCTCCTGCCTCAGCCTCCTGAGTAGCTGGGATTACAGGCATGGACCAAGATGCCCGGCTAATTTTTTGTATTTTTAGTAGGTTTTGCCATGTTGGCCAGGCTGGTCTCGAACTCCTGACCTCAAGTGATCCGCCTGCCTCGGCCTCCCAAAATGCTGGGATTTCAGGCGTGAGCCACTGCACTCAGCCAGATGTGTAAAAATTCTGTGAAATTCAAATTTCAGCGTCCATAAATAAAGGAATACAGCCATGCCTGTTCATTTACATGTCTCTGCTGGCAGCTTTCACATTATAAGGCAGAGTTGAGGAACTGCAGCAGAGATTCTATGGGCCTATGGACTTCAAAGCCAAAAAGATTTACCATCTGACCCTTTACAGAAACAGTCTGCTGACCCCTACTCTAGAGGCACGCAAAGGGTGGGTGGGTGCAAGTAGACAGTGATGCTTTTGTGAAGAAACTCAGGACTGGGGAAGGAGAGGGAGATTAGAGGAGTGGGCGTGACAGCACAGCACTAATCCAAGATTCAGCAGATTAGCTGTGAGGCAGGGACTAGGCATCTATGTCTTCTAAGACTCAGTTTGCGCATCTGTACGTGGGGAGAAGGTAGGGCAATAGGAAGATACCTGCTTCTCTCCGACCTCATGGACTAGTTTTTCTAGCTGCCACTGTCCTCTCCAAGAACTCAGCCACCACCAGGGACTTCTGTGTGGCCTGGGGCAGGTCCTGCCTTCTCTGGGCCTAACCTTGAGGCTTCTCCACCCCACAGAAGAGGTGCTTATCCGGCTTTAAGGCAGACCCAGGACTGGAAACTTCATTCCATCTAGACTTTCAGCAAGGGTGAGGAAGCACCTATTGTGTGCAAGGCTGCAAGGCACTCTTAGGGCTCCCTGGCATTAAATGGTCCAGTGAATCCCTCTTTGCCTTTCATCCAGACATTTGGGTGAGGAGCTCTCCTCCCTGAGACATGGTGCAGGTGGGGCCATTAACTCCTGCCTTCCCCTGCCCCACTCAGGTGAACATCACTGGAAACTTCTGAA